TTTATTATGTTGAGGTATGTTCCTTCTATTCCTGCTTTCTGGAGAGTTTTAATCATAAATGGATGTTGAATTTTGTCAAAGGCTTTCTCTGCATCTATTGAGATAATCATATGGTTTTTATCTTTCAATTTGTTAATGTGGTGTATTACATTGATTGATTTGTGGATATTGAAGAATCCTTGCATCCCTGGGATAAAGCCCACTTGGTCATGATTTATGATCTTTTTAATATGTTGTTGGATTCTGTTTGCTAGAATTTTGTTAAGGTTTTTTGAATCTATGTTCATCAGTCATATTGGCCTGTAGTTTTCTTTTTTTGTGGCATCTTTGTCTGGTTTTGGTATTAGGGTGATGGTGGCCTCATAGAATGAGTGTGGAAGTTTACCTTACTCTGCAATTTTCTGCAACAGTTTGAGTAGGATAGGTGTTAGTTCTTCTCTGAATTTTTGGTAGAATCCACCTGTGAAGCCATCTGGTCCTGGGCTTTTGTTTTTTGGAAGATTTTTGATTATGGTTTTGATTTCCTTGCTTGTGATGAGTCTGTTAAGATTTTCTATTTCTTCCTGGTTCAGTTTTGGAAGGTTATACTTTTCTAAGAATTTTTCCATTTCTTCCAAGTTGTCCATTTTATTGGCATATAGTTGCTGACAGTCTCTTAAGATCCTTTGTATTTCTGTGTTGTCTGTTGTGATTTCTCCATTTTCATTTCTAATTTTGTGGATTTGATTCTTCTCCCTTTTTTTCTTGATGAGTCTGGCTAATGGTTTGTCTCTTTTATGTATCTTCTGAAAGAACCAGCTTTTAGTTTTGTTGATTTTTGCTATAGTCTCTGTCGTTTCTTTTTCATTTATTTCTGCCCTAATTTTTATGATTTCTTTCCTTCTACTAACCTTGGGATTCTTCATTTCTTCTGTTTCTAGTTGCTTTAGGTATAAAGTTAGATTATATATTTGATTTTTCTCTTGTTTCTTGAGGTAAGCTTGTAATATGAACCTTCTGCTTAGCACTGCTTTTACTGAATCCCATAGGTTTTGGGTTGTTTTCTTTTCATTTTCATTCATTTCTATGCATATTTTGATTTCTTCTGCGATTTGTCAGTTATTCAGAAGTGTATTGTTTAGCCTCTATATGTTTGTATTTTTAATAGTTTTTTTTCCCATAGTTGACATCCAATCTTACCACATTGTGATCAGAAAAGATGCTTGAAATGATTTCTTTTTTTTTTTTTAATTTACCAAGGCTAGATTTATGGCCCAGAATGTGATCTGTCCTGGAGAAGGTTCCGTGTGCACTTGAGAAGAAGGTGAAATTCATTGTTTTGGGGAGAAATGTTCTATAGATATCATTTAGGTCTAACTGGTGCATTCTGTCATTTAGAGCTTGTGCTTCCTTGCTAATTTTCTGTTTAGTTGATCTATCCATAGGTGTGAGTGGGGTGTTAAAGTCTCCCACTATTGTTGTGTTATTGTTGATTTCCCCTTTCATACTCGTTAGCGTTTGCCTTACATATTGCGGTGCTCCTGTGTTGGGTGCGTATGTATTTATAATTGCTATGTCTTCTTCTTGGATTGGTCCTTTGGTCGCTATGCAGTGTCCTCTTTGTCTCTTTTCACGGCCTTTGTTTCAAAGTCCATTTTATCTGATACGACCATTGGTACTCCTGCTTTCTCTTGGTCTCCGTTTGCGTGAAATGTCTTTTTCCAGCCCTTCACTTTCAGTCTGTATGTGCCCCTTGTTTTGAGGTGGGTCTCTTGTAGACAGCATATATAGGGGTCCTGTTTTTGTATCCATCCAGCCAGTCTTTGTCTTTTGGTTGGGGCATTCAACCCATTTACATTTAAGGTAATTATTGATAGGTATGATCCTGTTGCCATTTATGTTGTTGTTTTGGGTTCAAATTTATAAATCTTTTCTGTGTTTTCTGTTTAGAGAAGATCCTTTAGCATTTGTTGAAGAGCTGGTTTGGTGGTGCTGAACTGTTTTCCTCTGTTTCTTTGCATTGTTCGCTTAAGAAGGCCTTCTTACCTATATTTGCTCTTCTCTGGAACTCTGCATTCAAATGGGTGTATCTTTCCTTTTCTCCTTTGCCTTTTGCTTCTCTTCTTTTCTCACTATTTGTAAGGCCTCCTCAGACAACCATTTTGCCCTCTTGCATTTCTCTTTCTTGGGGATGGTTTTGGTTACTGCCTCCTGTGTGGTGTTACAAACCTCTGTCCATAGTTCTTCAGGCACTCTGTCTACCAGATCTAATCCCTTGAATCTGTTGGTCACCTCCACTGTATAATCGTAAGGGATTTGATTTAGGTCATACCTGAATGGCCTAGTGGTTTTCCCTACTTTCTTCAATGTAAGTCTGAATTTTGTAATAAGGAGCTCATGATCTGAGCCACAGTTAGTTCCAGTCTTGTTTTTTCTGACTGTATAGGTCTTCTCCATCTTTGGCTCAAAGAGTATAATTGGTCTGATTTTGGTATTGACCATCTGGTGATGTCCATGTGTAGAATCTTCTCTTGTGTTGTTGAAAGAGGGTGTTTGCTATGACCAGTGCGTTCTCTTGGCAAAACTCTTATTTGCCTTTGCCCTGCTTCATTCTGTACTCCAAGGCCAAATTTGCCTGTTACTCCAGGTATCTCTTGACTTCCCCATTTTTCATTCCAGTCCCCTATCATGAAAAGGACGTCTTTTTTTTGGTGTTAGTTCTAGAAGGTGTTGCAGATGTCATAGAACTGGTCAACGTGGCACTGGTGGTTGGGGCATTGACTTGGGTTACTGTGATGTTGAGTGGTTTGCCTTGGGAATGAAGCAAGATCCTAAATGTAACATATGCACAGTGAAATGATGCTCTGCATAGGACTCTGCTTACAGACTTTCTGTGAACAGTTTCCTGTGAGGAATGAGGAGGAGCTGGGCTCTGGAGGGTGGGTCATGACCTCCTGGCTTCTCCTTCTGGGGTCTTGGTTCGCTGACACACCCTTCCAGGTGTGTGGCCTTGACTGGGAGCCCACCTGGTGGGTTTGGGAGCCCACCTGGTGGGTTTCCCCTCAGCAGGGGTTGATGTGAGCTGTTTTTCAGGGAGTGAGCAGGGTGGTCCCGGAGATAGTGCCATCGTCCCGAAAGTCGACACGCCCCGTCTGTCCAGCTTCCTGCGGGCAGCCTGCCAGGTATGCTCTGCGGGGGGCGGGGACCCAGTGCTGCACATGCTGTTTGGACTCTGAACAGTAGTACTGATTGCCTGCATTTTAGAGTAAATGTAGACAGAAGAACAGACATAACTAAATTGGCAAGGTGAGCACACGTCTAGGGTTTTAAAACTCGTAAACTCATGACTTTGAAGGGTGGTTATGGGAATTTTCAAAGCCCATACAAAGGTCAGAGGGTCCTGTGTACTTCAGGGTCCCTGTGTCCACTACCTCCCCCTCCCCGTAGCCGTCCTGAGTGTGACCCCGCTCCCACAAGGGCAGTGGCAGGACTTGGTGTCACGCTGGCCTGCACTGCAGCCCAGGCAGGCAGGCTGTGTTGCTGTGGGTAACATGTTTGTGCCCCGTCTCTTCTCGAGGAGCTGGAGGGCCCCGCACCCCCCCCCCCCCCCCCCCCCCCCCCCCGGGTCTCTGCCGTGGAAATCGGCACCAGCGTTGCATCGTGGCTCTGCAGTTACAGAGGCGAGCTTTACTTGGTAGTCTGTACTGCTCTGCGGAAGGGGCAGTCTAGCTTCTGGTCGTTTCTGTGAGTCTGGGGCTCGGTTAACTTAAGGGATGAGTAGGTTCAGGTAGTGCTCTGCGGCTTTTGCTTTTCTTTGCAAACGAGTCCGTCTGCTTGTGCTGATGAAGGCCTGCTCATGCGACTGTTGCAGGTGATGGCAGTTCTGCTTGAAGAGGACCGGGCAGTGGCCGAGCCGGGCTGGGCGTCCCAGGCTCAGGACTGCACCCTGCCTTTCAGCGACAGCTGCACACGGCTGGACACCAGCCTGCCCTTCCTGCAGGGTAAGCAGCCCTCAGGGTGGACGTGGACCCCATGACGGTGATCCTCACGGGGCCTCCTGAAGGGCTTTGTTGGCCAGAGCAGAGGCTCGGCTTCTGCAGCCTCGAGTGTGTGTGCCACAGTCCTCACCAGGGGGATAAGCAGTGATTTAAGGGAAAATTTGTTTTCAGTCCTGCGTCTCTTGATTTCTTTTGGTTTCTTGGGTAGAGGACCGGGGGGAGCCGCAGGCAGTCCAGGTGGGAGTTGTGTGGTGAGATTTGAGCTGATCTGTGGTCACAGCACAAACGCTGCCCCAGTGAAGCCTGTGTCTTCCCACGTACATCAGAAGCTGAACAAATTTCATGTGTTCAGTTCTTCAGTGAGTCTCTGCCTTGCCAGCTAGTGAGGGCTTGGGTGGGGCCGGGGTCGTGGTCTGAGGACAGGAGGGTGGGCAGTGCTTTCCAGGGTGACTCTGGGCCGGCAGGACCTAGTGTGTGGCTGCCACTTGTTCTAGAAGTTTCTGTGAAGATTCAGAGTCACGTCCAGCTCTCTGCACTGACCATTAACACCAGTGGCATGAAGTTAACAAGCACATGTTATCTGAGCACGTTTTTGTTTTTAAAAGTTGAGTTATCCTATTAGAAAAAGGATAAATTGTAGCATTGAAAACACAGAAGCCCACAAATCCACCACCCTCTCCACCCCAGGAAACAGGAGTTTAAGAAGTGCTTTCCTCTGATCCCTGGACTGGAGCAGGGATTGGGAGGGGGTGATGCACAGTGTGGGGGGTGGGAGGTTGCAGGCCTCCAAGCTCACTCTCCTTGACATAGAGGGCCAGCATCTCCTCGCGCCCGTAGCGATAATCAGCCAGCTTATACTTGGGCATGGCGGGGGAGGGGGGTGGGGAGGCCACACTCCCACAGAACCCTTCCTCAGAGAAGGACGACGCAGGTGTGTTGTCTGGGACTTGCCCTTTAGTTCCACCGGTGGGCAGAGCAGAGGTTTTTCTTGTGTCTGTTTTAGTAAAGTGAGTTTTAAGGTGACAGAGGGAAGTTGGGACGCAGGTGCCCGTGACCTGAGCTCCCTGAGCTTGGAGGGAGCGGTGGGCCCTTCTCAGTGTCAGTGGCCGTCCAGTGCTGGCCGCCCAGCCTTCCTTCTGAGGGCCCCTCAGATACCCGGGCATGCGGGCAGGTCGTGGGCCTTGGAGCCGCAGTGGACAGACAGAAACCTCGCATCCCCGGACGAACAAGGGTGCTGGACAGTGTCTGAGGGCAGGCGTCAGGAGGAGGCCGTCCAGGGCCCTGCTGCAGGCGGACAAGCACTGACTGGGCAGACATGATGCCCGCCCACCCCCTGCTCCCCAGGTCCCCTCCGCACCCCTGGCCCGTGGGAGTAGATGGTGGATGGTGGTGGGGTCCTGGGCCGTGCTGAGCTGCGTGTGGAGGAGGGTGGCTTCTTTCAAATGAGGCCACCCAGACGTTTTCGAGTTGAGCTTGGCCACTCATCAAAACACTGGTTTTGGGCGATAGCATCTTTGAAAGACCATGTCTTCTTCACTAAGCTGAAACATACTGGAGTAACCTTGTGTGTTAATGTAATGTGGGTTCTGGAGCATTTTTCTTGTCTTGTCCGCAGACCGGAGAGTGTCCTGCCTGCACGCATGTCAGGCTCAGCGGCGCACGCTGGTGTCTGTGCACGGGCTGCCGGGGAAGGCCTTGGTGCCCCTGCTGGACCACAGACACGTGCTCTGTGTGTGGGACATCCGGCAGCCGTCAGGGCCCCAGAAGGTCCTGGTGTGCGAGTCGAAGGTACAGCTTGGGGGGGCCGAGGGCGTGACTTGAGGGCGTGGGCCCCAGGGAGGGGTGTCCGGGGTCACGGCTTTCCGTCCCGCCGCCATGTGCGGGGTGAGGGTGCAGGAGCTCTTAATACGAAGCACCGGGTTGACTGAGGGGCCTCATGGCCACAGTCCCCAGGGCCCTGAGGGTGGGCGTCCGCCTGGCTCTGGGTTCGTGGAGGCACCAGCCTGGCATCCTTGGGATAGTGGAAGTGAGCGTCCCGGCTTGCTCCGCCTGGGTCACGGGTGCTTTAGAGGTTTCTTCCCGTGCCTGGAATTTTCCGAGTCCTTAGCGCGTGTGTTTCCCGGCTCCTGGTGAGTGGGACTGTGGAGTGGCGACTACATAGGTGCAGGGCAGAGTTCTGTTTCTAATCTTGTGGCTCTGGACTTCAGAAACATCTGGTTTTCACTCCACTGCTCGTCGTGCTGGGGGCTTGAACATAGCTTACTGTGATGCAGGGTATAGATAAAATGACAGGCGGCTCAGCTGTGCCGGACACCCTGCGGCCGCCACCCCGTGTCCCAAAGAGGGCACCCTCAGAGGGGCCAGCTGCTTGCCGCGGTTCCCCGTGTCCAGATATAGAGTCCCTGAGGCCCGGCGATCCCTGTCCCCGGCCCCTCCTCTGCCCGGCCCCACCTCCCCATCCCTGCACCCCAACCTGGCCCTGGCTCTCTGGCCCCGGCCCCACCTGCCCCAGCCTCCGGTCCCCCCTCCTCAGCCCTGCTCTCTATGCGGCTCTCTAGGTCACATGCTGCTGCTTCAGCCCTGTGAAAGCCTTCCTGCTGTTTGCGGGGACCGTGCACGGCTCGGTGGTCGTGTGGGACCTGAGGGAGGACCCCAGGATCCATCTCCGCGTGACGCTGAGCGGGTGCTCCTGGACGTTCAGGACCCCCACCTTCTCCACTGGTCAGTGACGCCGCCCACCGGCTCGGGTCCCCTGGAGCAGCTGCGAGGCCCCTTTGCGTTCTCCATGCAGGTCGCCCCAGAGGATGCCCTGACCTCGAGGCACAGGAGGCCTGTGCCAGCCAGGGGAACAGCATCTTTCTAGGGTGGCTGGGGTGGTGACAGCAGTGATGGGCTGCTTGTCCTGTCAGCTCTGGGGCTCCAGGTCCTCAGCGAAGGGGCGCCGGGGTTGCCTCAGCCTGAGATCATTGGTTTGTGCGCGCCCATGGCCCGGGCTGGAGGAGAGGAGAGGTAGTGACCCCTTGAGGTGGGATGGACCCAGAGCCACTGGACCTGTCAGGACCCCGAGTTAGACTCGTGTGCATACTTCACGCCAGGCAGCTGCTGCCACAAGCAACCACAACCACGACCACAGTTAACAATAGCTGGTCACAGCCATAGCTGATCACAACCACAACCACAGTTACAGCCACAGCCGATTGCAACCTAAGCCCAACCACTGTTGCAATCACAACCAAAACCACAACCTCAAACGAGGACTGTGTTCTGGGGTTTTTCCCCATGCTGTGTGGGCGTGTCCCATGCAGGCCGTCCGGGCCTCTCCCGGTGCTCAGGGAGATGGGAGGCTTATCTGTGGTCACACTGGCCATGCAGGGGCCAGCACCCAGGTGGTCTCCAGTCCGTCCACGTTCCTGCCCAGGAACGTCACTCTTCCCCCCCACCCCCAGCTGACTTTGGGTCCCCCCGCCCTCACCATCCCACGAGGTTTTGTCTCTGTTTTGTCTCACGGTGAGGGCCGAGATCCTGTAGCATCCCGACCTTGGAGTCAACTTTCCTCCTCTTAGCGAGAAGTGCCCACAAGTCATGGTGTGCTGGGTCAGGACGTCACTCCTCTGCCAGGCAGGCCCCCGTGGGCGCCACATGGCTTTACCCGCCCAGCGGTCAGCTTCTTCTGGTCAGTTCTCTCTGTCCATGGTCAGGACGGGCGTCTGCACTGCAGGTGTGGCGGCCGCAGGTCCTCGCTGCGGGCTGGCAGCCTTTCTGCTCCAGCTGGCGTCCCTGAGATCGCAGGGTGCCGGGTGTCTGTCTTCAGCGGGGCGTCTGTGCAGGCCTTCTGCACCAAGTGAATCAACATGCTGCTTCTGACTGTTGTGCTTTAAGGGTCCGTGTGTTCTCAGTACTGTCCTGGGTAGACTTGTCTGGGTTGTCTCCAGCCCTTAACCAGGCCAGCCCTCAATGTTCTGTTCCTGGCCCCCTCTGGGGAACTCCATGCATATACTGCATGCCTGTTTATGTAGTGTGAGTTTGTCTGTGTTTTATACATAAAAAGACAACATTTCTTTTGTCTTCCAACAACCAGTTTTTCCCCCTTTGGGGGTGAAATTGCCACTGTTGAGAATGTGTCAGTTTATAGATACCTTATGGATCCGTTGCTACTGGAAAAGGTATCTTTTAAGATCGTGTATTTTCTAACTGCTGCTATTACTAATTAGTGCTTGAATTCACCACCAAACACTGAAATGCTCAGGATTTGAAACTTAATATTCTATTAAAATGCTTCCTTCTTTTTTTTTTTTTTTTTTTTGCTATGTAAACACTGTCACAAAAACCTTCAAAGTTCCAGTAACTTTGAGTCGGAGAACACCCCTCCTCAGTGGGCCTCCAGTTCATTGAGTCTGAAGTCTGTCATTCTCCGTTCCAGAGAGCATTTTGTCCTTTTCTTCAATTTCAACCCTAACTCTCATTTTCTTTCTGATGTTTTTAAATCCATTTTTGTTCTAGGTTTCTGATTGCAGGTGTTTTTATTTGTTAGATGTATTTCCAAGTGCTTTTTGGAAACCTGTGATGTCATCTGGGTGCTGGGCGTTGGTCTTTCTGTTCCATGCTCGTTTCTGGAGGGAGAATTGTCAGAGGTTGAAATGCTTCCATTTGCGTTTTCTATCTAGTTTCTGTGGCAGTGTTGTGTGGCATTTGTCTTCCTCTGCTAGGGGGCATTTTGCAGGTGGGTTTGCCAGGTCAGAGGAGCTCTGTTCTGTTGGGCTGTGAAGGTGCTTCTACTCTGGCTGCGAGCCTCTGTCTCCTTCTGAAGCTGGAAGCAGTTTCCGCTGTCTCTGGGACCCCCTCTTGCTGTGGAGAGTGCCCGCGCCCCCCAGTCTGTCCTCGCACCTGCAGCTGTGCAGACACGCCGCTCGCCTTCTCCGCCCAGGCGGAGGTGGTCTGTGGCCTCTGCTCCTCGGCCGTGCCGAGAGCCATGACACGTGCACTTCCACAGTTTTGCGCGTGGCTGGGCACCTGCGGACACGTGCGTGCCCCGCACAGGCGGCTGTGCTCCGTGACCCACCACATGCACACACTGCCTGTGCTCTGCCCCCAGACGGCGTCCTGATGTCCGTGAACCACCGCAGCCCCCTCCAGGCAATAGAGCCCATCACGGGGTCTGTCTGCAAGAGGCAGAGCTGTGTGCTTTCACCCTTTTCTACTCAAGAAGGTATGTGACCTTCACTTCTGTAAATCTGAGCTCCAGTGTGAGACGTGGTTTCTGGTTATGAGCCGGTCCTTCCCCACTTGTGTCCTCACCAGAGACGGCAGGCCTATCCTTCCACATTGCTTCCTTGGACGAAAGCGGGCTTCTCAATGTGTGGGTAAGTCGGGCACATGGTCAGTGGTGGGGGACAGGTGGTGATGTGTGCGGGCATGGGGCGACATGTATGTGAGAGGTGGCAGGGCTCTCAGCCAGGAAACCAGAATGAGGCAGCTTGCAGGGAACTCCCGGGGGAACAAGGGATGGAAGGGGGCAGCTTCAGGGCCTGTCACCGGAGGGAAGAAGAAGGTCAAAGTCGGGGATTTATAGTATTTAAACATTAGTCTTCCTTCGGAGCAACTGTGTCCTTAGCATGTCGTGTGATGTGCTGTCTTGATCACAGCTGTGCTTTGCTTAGACTGTTTCCCGCTTATCCTGTGTGCTGACCCTCGTCTGTGATGGTCTGTTTCAGGTGGTGGTTGAATTACAGAAGGCAGATGCTGCAGGTTCAATAAGTGACTTAGGTAACTAAAAATAAAAAACTAATTTTAGGCAGCGTTTGCTAGAATCACTAAAGATTAGACATACCCAGAATCACTTTGAAGAATCAGTTACTCGCCACATGGAAAATGGAGATTAAAGTTGTGTATTTTATAACCCGCCGACTGTTGCACAGGCCTGACGCCCTTGTTGCAGGAGGACATGTGTCCTCTTTGTGCCTGCGTGGCGTCTGCTTCTCGTCCCCTGGGGCGTCCCTGTGACTCATGTCTGAGGAGCCCTTGGTGTGACCCCTGAGGTCTCTGACCGTACCCCTACCCCTGGGTGGGGGAGAGGGGGTTGGCTGGCAGTTTGCTGTCCTGATGCCCAGGGCTCGGGCACCAAGGAGCCCCAGCCTGCACTTCTCAGAGCCCCAGTTGGTTGTTTTGTGACCAGGCTGGAGGCGCTGCCATAGATCCGGCCAAAAAGTAGGGCCAGAGCCACTCTGACTGTCCCTGACTTCTTGAAATGAAGGAGGGGCATCTCCTGCGAGCAGGGCCCGTGTTGGGAGCCTGGTGCTGCTGCGGGGCCTTGCGGGGGTCCCTCCTGAGAGGCTAACAAGCCAGGGAGGCCAGGGGTCTCCAAACAGAGGAAATAGGCTGCAAGTGGCAGACGTTTTTTATCTCTCTCTTAAGCGACAGGAGGAAACTGGTGTTATATTTTTTTCCCCTTCTCTATACAGATTTAAAAAGAGGCTTCTGTTAAAATTCTGTGTTGCCATAATGACACCTGGTTCCACCTGAACTCAACTTGTCTCAAACTTTGAGCTAACCAGTGCATTTTTCTTATGGAAATGTTTGTCTTAAGCTATGTTAATGTACTGTGTATTTACCCTAGACTCTGTCTGTCTTCAAGTCGGTTCCACCTAAGACTCAGAATCGACTTGACAAACCAGTATGTTTTACTCACGCAAATGTTCTCCTAAGCTATGTTTTAAGGGGACTATGTCTTTGCTTGGAAACCTCCCTTTCTTCAAGATTCATGTCACTGGTTTTATGGCAAGGACGACTCACCTGGTGTCAGTGTTATCTCAGAACGCCTGTTGTGGGTGAGGGGCCTGGTGCCCTCTGAGTTTTGAGACATCTGCTTTCTCTACTTAGCAGCCTGCTGATAGGAATATAACCTACTGCTGAAGGCTAACAGGCAGCACTCTCTCTGCCCCCTTCTGATGTCTATGTCAGAAGCTGTCTGTCTCTTTTATACTTTAATAAATGTTTATCACACAAAAGCTCTGAGCAATCAAGCCTCCTCTCTGACCCTGGATTGAATTCCTCTCCTCTGGAGGCCAAGAATCCCGGCGTCTTTCATGGCTCAGCAACGGCCTTTCACTCCCAAGGGGCCATTTTTTCCGCCTCTCTTGCAGTCGGCTCTGTTCCCTGGGCTGCGAGCAGGGCTGCGTGGGGGATGTCGGGGCGGGATGGGGCTGGAGGGACGTCCCCGCCAGCACAGGTAACCCAGACCAGTGGGAGGAGATTTCCAGAGGAGGGTTTCTCTGGGGAACTGGAGGACTGTTGAATATTCACTTTTTGCTTTTAGAAGTGTATTTCCGTTTTAAAGTCAAATCTAAAAATGGAAAGGCTTTTGATTCCAGCAGCCCTCTTCCCTCCAGGCCCTCAGCTGCCAGCTCCTAATTCATCCCAGGCACCTGCAGGGCCCTCCCCTGCACAAGGGCGGGGCAGCCCTCACCGCCCTACTTTTGATGTTCTCCCAGCCCAGGCCTTAAACAGTGAAAAGGAATTTCCAGATGCTTGGGTTTTGGTATAACTTGTACCAAGAGGTGCCTTTATTCCTGGTTACTCTGTAGGTTTAATACCTGGAGGACGGATAAAACTGGTACACAGCACTTCGATCCAGCTGAGTGACAGGTGAGTCTATGCCCGTTAAGCCATGTTTCCCACAGGAGGAAACAGCCTTAGGTAATAAGTTATGGTCAGACTGGTGCTGGAGAATCCTGGCTTCTGACATTGTTTTTTTGCCAAGTAGTTTATTTGCTAACTGGTTTGCTGTTAATGAGTCAGTGTAACAAATGCAATTACCAGGTGTTACAGCTAAAAATATTTTCTATTGTATGAATTGGTACTATTTGACTGTTTTTCATCCAGTTTTAATACAACCCTGAAATTAAATAGATGAGGTTCAGAAACTGAAAACATTGACGTGAAAGTTTTATTCAGAAATTAGTTTTCTGTTTTTACTTAAATAACTTACTGTGATGTAAAAACCTTACTAGCTATATGAATATTGTGTATATTTATGTGTCTCAAGTTATTTCCCAAAGCTGTCTCTCCTGTCACTCACTGCAGCTGGGCTGGCTCCCAGCCTGCGACTGACCTGGAGAGTCCTGATATTAGCCTCCCTGCTGTTCGTCAGTTGGAGCACCCCAGGGTTGTGTTAATGAATCCATGCATGCTTTGTGGTTAGACATTACCTGCCGTTCCTTTCAGTATAAGTACAACAAGGAATCTGTTAATGTTTGCAAAAACCCACCTAATAAACTGCAGACTCCACCCTGGGCAATCCCAGCCCCTCGTGGAATTTCCGTGAGACTCCTCATCTCCATTACGGCTTTGTCACTTCATGCCTTGCATTGCAATGGTCTTCACTGCTTTAAAGGAAGTGTCACCTGGAGCTGATGTTGGATCTCCCCCACAGAACGCCTAGCAGTGCCCAGCCCCTGTCGGGGTGCAGCAGACATCCACTCAGACCTCGCCCACACGCTGGCCACACGGAGTGTGCTCTGTCAGCTGCTTTGTGGGGCCTTTCCCTTAGGGGCCCCCAAGTGCAGACCAGCAACCCGTGGCTGCTGCGGCCCACAGGGTTGGCATCTGGCAGGAGGGGGACGGAGCTGCCCGGCCCCGGAGCTCAGAGCCACCTCGCCAGCCTCAGCCCCCTTCCTCGGTCGCTGAACGTGGGTGTCCCTGGGGTGGGGGGAACCCTGGGGCCGCCAGGCCTCCACTGAGGGGGTCCTGGTGGCCTGTCCCCTTGTTGCTGTGGCACGGGACACACGGAGGGGACACGTGGAGTGTGGGCGAGTGAGTGAGTGATGGGATGGGTGAAGGGATGTCCAGAGCCTAGAAAATGGAACTGGAGACGTGTCCATTGGCCGATGACAGGTACTGGTGTCACCTTTGCCCTGACAGTTTCAAGACTGCCCATCTGTCCATCTTTGCTGTTTTCTTCCAGCCTTTCTCATAAAGGTTATGAATCCTGGGGGTCTGTGCAGACACTGAGCGTTAAATTTCTGCCTTCAGACCCTAATCACTTCGTTGTCGGCACAGACGTGGTGAGTAACCGTCTAGACCTCTTTCTGTGGCTACAGTGGCTTGATGAGTATCTTCACTGGAGCTTAGCTTCTGGTTTGCTCTGATCAGAATGTTGTTTAAATAGCCTCGCCCGCCTGGTTCCCACCCCCTTGCTCCCCACAGGGCCTTGTCAGCCACGGCAGCAGACGGGACCTCAGAGCGTCTCCCAGGCTGTTCCGGCCGCAGCAGCAGGGCCCGAGGCCTGTGAAGGTGACCGTGATTGACTTCTCACCATTTGCGGAGCCCGTGTTCCTGGTAAGGGCGCCTGTTTGTCAGCACTGACCCCTTGGCAGTGTCTGCTGTAGTCTCCAGCACTTGGTTCTGTATGCGTTGGCTCCTGGCTTCCTGAGGTCCCATCTGCGTGGTCAGTGCCGTTGGTTCCACTGTGCTGTCGTGTGGATCTTATTTACACTTTTTATTCTGACCTAATGTACGTTTGTAGAGAAGTTACAAGGATGGCGCAGAGCACTCCCCGCCCGCCCTGAGTGTGCAGTGGCCCGCGTGTGGCCAGGGTGCTCCACCCCAGGGGCTGATGTGCGTTCACCTCCTGTGGCCACGGGTCGGTCCACCAGTCCTGCTGTCTGCAGGCCTGACTGCGGCCCCGTGGCTGTCCCACCAGTGTCCTTTGTGAGCAGGATCGTGGCCCAGGTCAGGAGTCCTGTCCATTTACTGTGTCCCATCCTCACTGCCCTCACCTGGGAATAGACTCAGCACCTCACAGAGGACCTGGGCACCTGATGCCCCGAGTTGAGTCAGGGGGTGTCTCCTCGTGGTTAGAGACAGGCCTTGTCCTGACTGTGGGCTCCTCTTTCCCAGTCTGATCAGTCAGGGCCAGGCGGGGAATGTGTGGGCTGAGCTCCTGCTGCTCCCAGGGAGGCTCTGTCCCAAGGAGGTTCTGTCCCAAGGGAGGTTCTGTCCCAGGGAGGCTCTGTCCCAAGGGAGGCTCTGTCCCAGAGCGGTTCTGTCCCAGGGCGGCTCTGTCCCCAGGGAGGCTCTGTCCCAGGGCGGCTCTGTCCCCAGGGAGGCTCTGTCCCCAGGGAGGCTCTGTCCCAAGGGAGGTTCTGTCCCAGGGCGGCTCTGTCCCCAGGGAGGTTCTGTCCCAGGGCGGATCTGTCCCAGGGAGGTTCTGTCCCAAGGGAGGTTCTGTCCCAGGGCGGCTCTGTCCCCAGGGCGGCTCTGTCCCAGGGCGGATCTGTCCCAGGGCGGATCTATCCCAGGGTGGCTCTGTCCCAGGACCCCTGTTCTGCAGGGTGGTTCTGTCACCCTGTTGCTTACTCGTGGGAGCCACCCTGGTGGGAAGACCTCCTCTCCCGCTCATGTGTCTTTCCCTCCTAACGTGTACACCACGGCTTTTTGGCGCCCTCAGTGGGTTCGGAGTCACTGCCTCCATATACTCTGCTCTCAGATGGTCCCCCTAGGGCAGGGGCACTGGGTCCGTGAGCGCCTCTCGCTTTCCCGTACAGGAACCCTTGGGATCAGCCATCACTCCAAGGAGTCTTGGCTCCTGTTAGGAGAAAGACACCTAGATACCAGGCCTGGGCAGTCAGAGTGCGCGTTGTCCAGGACATTGTCAAGGTGTCCTCTTATGCCACGCCCCAGTCCCAGGCTGGGCTCCTCCCCTGCCCTCCCAGCAGTGCGAACCCAGCTCCTATTATCTGTAATAAGTCTGTTTCCTCCATTTTGGGATTCACAGACCCTTTTGTGATTACTGTCTCTTGCCTCTGCTTTTTTGGGAAGATTAAATATGTGAAGAAGTAAATATATTGAGTAAAAAGGAATTAATTTTAGTAGGCTAAAAATTTATTTTTTTACTAGACCAGCTAAGTTTTGTTTTATGGGAAATTCAATTGAAAAGGAATATAAAACCGTATTACTGGTACAAATGTATATGGGTTTTTTTTTTAAGTCAGTCTTTCCAGTCTTGATCTCCTATGTTTGAATCAGTGATGTTCAGCTTTGTTAAAAAATAAACACCTATTTATATATTCACGGAGGTCACTGATTATCAGCCCTCTTTGGAGGGAGGAGGTACAGTGTGTGTCAGGATCTCCAAATGCCCACCTTTGTGATTTGTGAGAACAAGATGGAATGTTATGATTTGATGTTTGGGAAGCAAAAGAATAAACCAAGTGTTTTTGCTGTGTAAGTGTGAAAGCTAATGTTCTGAGAATTTTCCTTGGCTGCTGAGTTTGAGTGAAAGAGAGGGAAGAACTGTGATGCCCTTTCCCCGCCTGCCCCAGGCCGGCTGTTCTGATGGCAGCATCCGGCTACACCGCCTGACCGCAGAGCGCCCGCTCCTGCAGTGGGACCACAGCACCTGCGGCCGTGCCGTCACCGGCCTGCAGTGGTCCCTGACGAGGCCAGCCGTGTTTCTGGTGCAGGACGACACGTCCTGTGTGTACGTGTGGGACCTCCTGGAGAGCGATCTGGGGCCTGTGGCCCGGCAGCCCATCTGTCCAGACAGGTGAGTCTGGGAAAGCCCAGGGTGAGACGCCACAGGTGACTTTCTGCAGACCCATCACTGATGGTCTTCTGTCTTGGTTTATGTATAAGGCCACCATACTTTATTGTTGTGTTAATCTCTCAGTCCTGTCTGACTCTGCAGCCCCATGCCCGGCTCCTCTGTCCATGGGATTCTCCAGGCAAGAATCCTGGAGTAGGTTGCTATTTCCTTCTCCAAGTTTATATTCACTTGTATTTATATATTTAAATTTAAATATTATTTTTATATTTAAGTTCTGAAAAAGCCACTTTAAAATGGGTTTATTTCATAATAGCCCCAAATAGTCTCAGGATTAAAGAAGTATTATCTATTGTTTTTTGTTTATATTGAGGTACAATTGATGTAAAATATGCTAGTTTCAAGTGTACAATATAATAATTTGATATTTGCATATATTATCAGAGGATTACATCTGTTACCTCACATAGTTTCAGAATTCTTTTCTTGTGATGAGAACTTTTAATGTTTACTCTTTTAGCAACTTTCAGATTTGCAATAGTGTTATCAAGTACATTTGTCGTGCATACTGCTTCCCATGACTTGCTGTTTTATGACTAGAAGCTTGTACGCCTTCACCCATTTGGCCCACCCCCACCCCTTCATTTGGCCACCAGTCAGTTCTCTGTGTGTGAGCTGAGCTTGTTTTAGATGGGGGAGGCTCACGTGTGAGTGAGATCACACAGTATCTATCCTCTGACTGACTTCACTTCGAGTGATGCCCTCAGGGTCCATCTGTGTTGTCACCAGTGGCCGACAGAGAAGCTGTAGGAGCCAGACCCCCTCCCGTGGCTGCACACTGACTCACAATTGAGCCTTGTTGGTTTTGGCCCAGAGTCGGTGCTGAGGATGCCGTGGCCTGTGTGAGGGAGACTTTTCCCAGTATGAATCTTCGTGTACCGTGGGGTTGCCCCAACACTTAGGTTGTTTCTGTGTCCTGCTGTTGTGAGCAGTGCTGCAGTGGACATGGGGACGTCCCACACCCGACTCATGTTGTTTCCACATCCTGGCTATTGTGAGCAGTGCTGCAGTGGACATGGGGACGTCCCACACCCGACTCATGTTGTTTCCACATCCTGGCTATTGTGAGCAGTGCTGCAGTGGACATGGGGATGTCCCATACCCAACACTGAGGTGGTTTCCATGTCCTGCTGTTGTGAACAGTGCTGCAGTGGATGTGGGGATGTGGATATCTCTTTGAGATACTGACTTCATTTTCTTTGGATAAATACCCAGGAGTGGAATTGCTGGATCCATGTTAGTTCTATTTTTAGATCTTGAGAAGCCTCCACACTGTTTTTCACTGTGTCTTCACCAGTTGACGTTCCCATCTACAGTGCCCGAGGGCCCCCTCTCTCTGTGTCCTCACCAATGTTTGTTATTTCATATCTTTTTGATGATGGCCATTCTGATGTTGATATCTCAGTGTTGTGAGTGGATATCTCAGTGTAGTTTTTATTTGCATTTCCCTGTTGATTAGTGATGTTCAGCATCTTTCCACATGTCTTTTGCCATCTGTGTGTCTTTTTTAGAAAAATGTCTGTTCAGGTCCTCTGCCCATATTGTAATTGGATTACTTGTGTTTTTTTTGCTATTTAGTTGTATGAGTCTTTATATATTTTAGATATTAACTCTTTAACAGACATAGGATTGGCAAATGTCTTCTCCATCTCTAGGTGGCCCTTCCTGTTTGTTTCTGGCTTCTTCTACCTTCTTAGTCATCCCACCTGTTTGCTTTTGGAGTCAGATCCAGAAAGCCATCCCCAGACTGATGTCAGAGAGCTGCCCACTGTGTTTTCAGCATTCCTCTTCCTCCTGCTACGCCTGGGGGAGGCGGGTAATCAGGTGACTCAGGGTCACACCGCATGTGCTTCTCGATTTCAGGCTGCTGGCCATGACCGTTGTGGGGGAAGCAGAGAAAACCCGCGGTGGCTTCCTGGCCCTGGTGCTGGCCAGAGCCTCTGGGAGCGTGGACGTCCAGTACCTGCGGCGGGAGTGGGCAACCCCGGCCAGTGATGAACTGCAGAGGCTGCGGCTGCTGCTGCGGGAAGGCCCGTAGGCGGCGGGACCCCGAGAAGTCATGCGGTGGCTCCAAGCTTCCACTGGGTGCATGTGCATTTGTATAGATAGAAGGCGTGTGTCTGTGCAGAAGTCACTGTTCAAAACTACCACTTCAGGACGCCCTAAATAAATCACTGGTTTTGAATGGAAACAGCAAATCTTTTAGTGTATACTGAACTGCAAAGGCAGCAGAGAGCCGTATGGGACACTGTTTTCCAAGGATATTTCTACTCGTCTTCAAAACAGCTTTGTAAAATTTATCATGAGATGTTTAAACACTCCAAATGAAAATATATTTTAGTGAACAGTTTTCTTAGTCTTTTATAAAATGACATATTCACTGGTTTAAATTAAAGACCTGACTCCAGTGAAATGACCTCCCACTGTGTTTTCTTAGGACTTTCTTGCGCTTCTTCTACTGGAAATGGAAAGTCTACTGAGGCACGTTTGCTTTATGCTTTAGTGTTAACAGCTTTGTGTAAAGATGATGTGAGTACATAAGTTCTCTTAACTATACAGTTATCATAGCAGTTTAGGGGCAGGAGAACCCTGGGCTGACGGCCTCTGCCCACACCCAGTATCACTGACATGGTGACAGGTGAGTAGTCAGCGGGGGGAGGGGTTTGTTCTTCTTTCTGGGCCACAAGCAGCTGCTGCTTTGTGCCAGTGACAGGAGGGTTAAACCCAGAACTGGCAGCCGGCAGAGAACACAGGCTCCCAGGGCCCCGCGTTTCTCGTAAATCCCTCAGCTGCTCATGGTCCTCTTAGAGCCCTGTGCCCTTCTGCGCCTGCTGGCACGGCCCTTGCTGTGGCTGGCTCAGAGCCACTTCCTCTCCGAGGCCTCCCTGGTCCTGTCTCTGGAAGTCTCCTGCTGCTGTTCAGTCCCTCAGTTGTCTCTGACCCTCTGCGACCCCGTGGACCGCAGCACGCCAGGCCTCCCTGTCCTTCACCACCTCCTGGAGTGTGCTCAGACTCAGGTCCGTCGAGTCGGTGATGCCATCCAGCCATGTCATCCTCTGTTGTCCCCTTCTCCTCCCTCCTTCAGTCTTTCCCAGCATCAGGGTCTTTTCCCGTGAGTTGGCTCTTCACATCAGGTGGCCACAGTGTTGGAAGTTTAGCCTCAGTTGCCTTCTGGCTGCTCCATAAGTGCCAGCCTCGGGGTCTCTGCCCACTTGTGGATGAGCTCCAGGGAGTGCGAGTGCGCTTGTCGCATTGGTGGTCAGAGCCCCAGATTCTGCCTCAGCCCAGCTCCGACTCCCTGAGGGTTTCCCGGAGGAGGGGCTGAAGGAATCTCTTACAAGGAGAACTTTATCAGCATCACTGCTTCAGTGCGAAAACTTCACTTTGAAAGTGTTTAGCCCTCCATCTTTTTTTCCTGAATGGACTGAAGTACCTGAAGGTAATTTGGCTTCTCTATCTAGCTATTTGTAATCTTGTGTTGCTTTTTTATATTTAACACAGATTTGAGGATAAGCAATCAAGACAGGAAACCGTAAACAAGACTGGTCCAGGGTCTGGTCTGTGGGTTTGAGCTCCGTCCTCTGGACACTCGCCTGCGTCCGCTGAGGGTTTTGCTCCTTCCGTGCGATCGGTCCAGGGAGACAGTTCGTTGTGTGGTGTGGTGTCCGACAGGTCTAAAACAACAGACAGAGCAAAGCAGAGTACGGAGCTCCTCAGAGCCCCGTCTGTCCCGCACCCTCCGCCGACCCGGTTCCGTCTCTTCCTGCGTGGGGAGCCCCGCGTCTGCCCCCCACCCTCCACCGGACCCTGTTCCATCCCTTTCTTCGCGGGGAGGCCTGTGTCTGCCCCCCACCCTCCACCAGACCCTGTCCCGCCCCTCCCTGCATGGGGAGCCCCCCCCCCGCCTGCCCCTCACCCTACGCCCAACATTTGCAGATGTTCGTGGAACCGCCCCTTGCGCCGCCCTGAGCCTTGGAGTGGCTCCACCTGCTGGGTCAGCAGCCACCTCCCAGCACAGCCAGGTCCTCAGGGGTTTGTGAGCGGCGCTGAGCTGAAGCTCTAAATCTGTCAGGATTCTTTAATTTGTGTACAGTTAGAAGAGAAGACTTCTCTTAAATATGGTGGTATCCTCTTATAGTTGTTGGAGGGAGGAAGCCAGTTCTGACTCCATGTTGGAACCTGTTTCTTTGGTTTGTTTTTATTATTAACAATCATACTCAGTGGCTTGCCTGCAGGACCCTGCCCCTCTGCTCGACTGTAAACTAAACTGTCTTGTTCAGCTCAAGTAGAGACAGTTCATCCCTGCCCGCTTGTGAATAGAAGAGGTTAACAGGCCCCTTCCAAAGGCTGGACAGTCCCTTGGAGATATTTTGCAAGACTAAAGACCCTTTGGCCACCTGATGCGAAGAAGTGACTCATTTGAAAAGACCCTGATGTTGGAAAAGATTGAAGGCGGGAAAAGAAGGGGGCGACAGAGGATGAGATGTTTGGATGGTATCATTGAGTCAATGGACATGAGTTTGAGTAAATTCCGGGAGTTGGTGATCGACAGGGAAGCCTGCTGTCCTGCAGTCCGTGGTCACGATGAGTCGGACATGACTGAGCGACTGAACTGAACTGAAAGACCCTTTTACTCTGCTTCCCCACTGCATCTCCCTCTATTCTGCCTTTTGACTTCAGTTCCTCATTGCTCCTTTCTCTCTGATCTATAAAAGAACCTGGCGTCCAGACCCCAGTAAGATGGTTATTTTCAGGCACTAGCCTGCCATCCTTTTGGTCTGCCAGTTCCCCGACTAAAGTCTCTTCCTTGTCTCAACACCTCGTCTCTCAGATTCATGGCTCATGGTCAGGCTCATGACAATGCAGTGAGCAGAGTGAGCTTGGACTCAACACAATGATACAGTATTACTGGTTCTTGCTCACAGTTTTACTTGGATAAAGATATAACCTATCACACATCAAGGACTCACCAAGGGCTGGAGATATATATACAGTTTTTCAACAAATAATCTCACACTGTATTCTGTGGTTAAAAAAATAATAAAAGATTTACAAATAAACTAACTAAGTAAATAAGAAAAAGATAATTGTATTTGGACCATCCAGAGGCAAATATCTTTAGTTTTACTGGATTTCTTTCCTGTGTCTTTTTTTCTCACTTTTTAAGCAACTTTATTGAGATACAATTCACATATAATACAGTTTACCCATTTACAGCGTGCAGTTCAGCGGCTTTGGTGTTAAACCACCAACCCAACCAGGGTTGGGACTTGCCTGGTGGCCCAGTGTTAAAACTCCACCTTCCAGTGCAGGGGGGGGAGGGTGCCATCCCCCATCTGAGAACTGAGGCCCCATATGCCACAGAGCTACTGAGGCCACCCTCCACAAGTAGATAGTCCGTGCACCGCAAGAAGATCCCATGTGCCGCAGACCCAACACAGCCGAGTAAACCCAGCTTTAGAGCATTTCTGTATCTGCAGAAAGAAATCACGCATCAATAGCAGTCTCGCCCCATGGTCCCCAGTCCCACCAACCCAGGATAAACACGGATCTACTTCATGTCTCTGTAGATTTGTCCATTCTGGATATTTCATACAAATGGAATCACATATATTATGTGGCCTTTTATGACTGGATTCTTTCACTTACATAATGATGTTCACAAGATTCTTCTTTGTATCAGTACTCCATTTCTTTTTATTCAATTGTATGGCTGTACCACATTTTGTTTATTCATCATCTGGACACTTGAATTGTTTCCAGTTTGGGGCTGTTGTGCTACTGGGAGTATTTGTGTACTAGTTTTTGTGTGTCTTCATTTTACTTGGGTACGCACCTCAGAGTGGAATCCTTGCCAACACTCACCATCTGACATTCTGATTATAACCTGTGTGTGCATTGGTGTCTCACTGTGGTTTTGATTTGTGTTTCCCTAAAGATCAGTGATATTGAGCATTTTCTCATGTGCTTATCGGCCATTCATACATATCGGCCCTTTACAGAAAAGTGTATTCAGATTGTTTTACCATTTTTAAATTGGGCAATTTATCTTTGAAATTGTTGACTAGTGTTTTTCATTTATTTTTAGATATGTCTCTTATCAAATATATGATTTACAAATATTTCCTCTAATTTTGTTGGTTGTCTTCTCGCTTTCTTGATGGTTTACCTTGTAACACAATTTCCCAATCTTGATGATTCCCAGTTTTTTTTTCCTTTTGTTGCTTGTGCTTTTGGTGTTATGTGTAAGAGGCTTTGCCTAACAAGAAATTGGAGACTTACTGGATGCTTTTTAGGTATATTCTAGTTTTAGCTCTTAAATTTAGTTATTGGATCCATTCTGGGTTAATTTTTGTACATAGTGTGAAGTAGATAGGGGCCCAATATCATTCTTTGCATGTGACTATACCATTGTCTTTTTAATGAGGTATTTATATGCAGTCAGGATGAAAATCCTGCCCCTTGCTCCTCTTCCATGTTGTCCTTTAAGACATGTTTGGTCCATCCATGGAGAAGGTCAGCCTCCTCAGTAGCGCTGAGCCTGGCCACCCTTTCCTACAAGGCCCAGAGAGAGCGCCTGCCTTCCTCCCATGTTTTTGGGCCGCACTCTGCTCTCTGCAAGAACTGAGAACTAGGTTCCTAGCTCTGTGTTGCACCCAGGGCTCCATTCTAGTGGACACTGAGTTCTTCTTGGTGGGTGCTTTGGGGTGATTTCAGAAGGTAGCTGTGAGGATGCAAAGTAAGATTTGAAGATGTTTCCAAAGGTCTGGGTTTTTAAACGAGTCACAAAGGGGTATATTGAAATCGCATTTCTCTTATTTTTATAAGAAATAGAGCATCAGGTAATCTAGGGGCAGCGTTAAGGCTTAGTGAAGCATAATTATTCTGAAATAAAATCAAGAATATGACCCGTCCCCTAATGCTCAACCCTGTCATTTATAAAAGAAAGTCCTGGCCCATTCTCTGCACTATCTGCCCTTTGAGCTGTTTTCCAGAAGCTCTGGTGGGTTGCACAAATCTGTTTGCCCTGATCCAGACTGTGCTTTGCAGGCCAGCTGGCCCTTTGCTAAGATTTCAGTCTGCAGCCAAGAAACAGAGCCACTAACAACTGGCTAATCTGTCCAGATGCAGGGCAGTGTTCTCATAGTTCCCACAGGAGCGCCCGCGCCGTCTGTACTGGTAGGGCACGCTCAGGAGTGTGCTGTCCCCTCGGGGAAGCCAGAAGCGTGCCTGCTGCGGGTCGGGGACGGCCTGTCCCTGTGCAGGGAGCCACGGCCCTGCCTGGGACCTTCAGCCCAGCCAGCGCCAGACTCTCGGCATCAGGAGATGCGCACGTCCCATCTGCTTCCTCAGCCTTTGTGCACACGGCAGACGAGGGGCTGGGAAGGGGAATGGTGGGGCTGGGAAGAGCTGGGTGCCGGCTTTCCCTGCCATTTGGCCATCAGCGCACAGTCAGTGGTGTGCCCACTAACTTTTTATTTTAATGCGTCAGACTGAAGAAGTTTTGAAACTATTTGAAGTCATAATTAGGGACTGAAACTGAAATTATGGTCTCGCTGTGTGTGGTATGACAAGCAGGGAGCTGTAGCCCGCTAGGCCACGGGGCCGGGCTGCGAGTGTGAGCGCGTGTCTGCCTGATTTCCTCTGGTGTTGGTTCTGAGATGCACCTTGATTGCAGAAACATCACCGCAGAGCAAGTGCTGTGGCTGCGGGGCAATCTGTGCCTGTCCTCTGAGAACCCAGTGGCATCACCTCACCTCTTGCCAACGGGAGACCCAGACATAGGCGCTCTTCCCTGCTCACTGGGGCTCCAGGACCCCTGGTTAGAGTCCTGCTTCTGCCTCCAGTGGCTGCTGGCGTCCGGGGCACCGTGTTGCTCAGACGCAGCCTCACGGCTTGTCTGCTCCCATCAGCTCCTTGGCCTAACCCGCTCAGAAAGTGCAGGATAATTGGGTGGGTGACATGTACGTATCCAAATCCCAGCCCCCAAAACCTGTTCAGTAACCACTTCCAGCCCCATAGGTCCCCTCACCTCTTGTGAAAACATTTACCCATAAAATGTGTAAACATACAAACATTTACCCATAAAATGTGTAAGCATACAAATGTTTACCCACAAAATGTGTAAGCATACGAACATTTACCCATAAAATGTGTAAGCATACGAACATTTACCCATAAAATGTGTAAACATACAAACATTTACCCATAAAATGTGTAAGCATACAAATGTTTACCCACAAAATGTGTAAGCATACAAATGTTTACCCACAAAATGTGTAAGCATACAAACATTTACACATGAGGTGTGTAAAGTGTGGCAGCTCTTGCCACACTGAGGACCGCTTACACTTCCTCTGGGCTGGTCCTGGTCACCGGAGACTTTCCTGCCGACTCCTGTGGGCCTGGCCTTCAGCGACTGTCCCCGTGTGAAACCCGAGACACTGAACGCGGTGCCGAGGAGTGGAGCTTCCTTCTGACTCTGAGAGCCTGTGTTAGGACTCACAAGACCAGCGTCCTGTGGGCCCAGGACAAGCTGAGTGCTGTGTGACACTCGGAGACTTGCTGCAAGGTGAGCTCAACCCTCTCCCCCGAGGGAAGTCCAGCCGGGCTCCTCCACGCAGGACCACAGGCCGCCCTGGGCGGAGGCCGGGGGCCCCCAGGGAGGGGCCCGTCCCGCCAGGCGGGGGGCCAGGCCTCTCCTGTTATGAGCACGGCGCCCTGGGCCTCACAAGGGGCCTCTCACTGGACCTGCACACGCATGATGCCTCTTTCCTTCCCGTAACCTAAAGGAGGGGCTCCGGCAAGCTCACCCACATCTGTGCCCCACGGAGCAAATGGGAGAGTTCATGCACAGGTGACTCAGGCTCCAACTAGGACCTGTCTGTCTCCTGGGGTGGCCGCGGTTCCCCCAGACCCAGCCGGTCCAGAGACCGGCCGAGGTGGCCAGTGCACATCCCCTCATCACCCCAGGTCTGGCAGCTGCCCCAGCTCCGTATCAATAGCCCAGAGATGGAGCATGACTCACCGAGAGGCCTTAGATTCGGGGCACTTTTCACAAACACCCTGAAGAGGGCATCAGAGGAAAAGCAAAAGTTAGAGGAGGTTGCCTCCAGGAAAAGGTGGAACCTGACCAGCAGGCTCTTTCCCCAAACCCTGTTCACCAGCCCCGCAGAGGGAAACTTCTGTGCTTAGATTGCCTCAATTTGTGTGCAAAGCAGCACTGAGCTGACTGCAGGGTCCCAAGTGTCAAATCTGTGACGACCTCACCCTCCCACCCAGCGCTCTTGAGAGTGGGAAGGGGGCGCAGGGAGGGAAAACGCCGCCCTTCCCGCCGACGGTGGGAGTAGGGGTCAAGGGCGTCTCTGCTGCTGTCTTTCTGGTTAGGCGGCACGCCTCTCCCGCTGTTTTGCAGCAATGTGTGTGGGAGTGCATACTCTCTCCCCTGCAGGGTTTATAGAGGCGCTGGTCTCTGATCCGTGGGCTCAGAGGGGGCCACCCTGGGAATTCCCAAAAGTCTGGGTGACAGTTTCTCGGGAAGAGTGATCTCTGAGGTCACTCGGCTCTATTAACGACTGTTTATCAGAAGCTGGTCTTCCTCACTTTCCTTCTTGGTGTTACAGGACAACCTCTTCTCATCACAGGCTCATCACAGACTCGGCTTCCGCTTCTTCTGAAAGCGTCTTCTACATTGTTTGCCCTATTCTAGATAATTGGGTGACCGAAGTTTTCTTTATCTATCAATATTAGAACCTCTTTTCTGCTGAATTAATTGTGCATTTATTTATATGCAAATAATCTGGGACTTATGAACGGATATTATTCTAAACCTCCTTTATACTTGTTGTTTGGGAGGGCAAATCCATTTCTTCAGCACTGTAAGGGGCGATTATTTTACTTTCAATCCAGCCCCTCCTATTACGCAAAGGATGGAGAAGCAACCGTCTCACAGAGAGGTTCCCGTGAGCCTCCAGTGGGGTGTGGGTGGAGCACTCACCTGCAGAAACCAGGATGTGGGAGGAAGGGCTTGGCGGGGGGAGTGGAGGGTTTCTTGGAGCCGACGTGCCCCAAGCTCGTCCCTCCATGGCCTCTCAGGCCTGTTGATCCCTGAAGCCACCTTTCCTCCTGGTTTCAGCCACTGACCCCTATTTGCTTTCCACGGGGCCCTCTTTGTCCCCCAGGGGAGGCATCTCCCAGGTCCACTCACCACAGGTGGGGTGGGCACAGCCTTTCCTCACACTCTCAAACCCTAGAAGTTTTGCTTATTTGTTCGAGTTTTAGAAACAGCCTGAAACACAGAAGGAATGGAAAAGAGACAGGAGTAGGTTCCCAGAAGGCCCCGGGGGCTCCTTAGGCGTCTTCTCCGAGGTCAGATGTTGGTCAGGGCCTGGAGTTGTGTGTCTGTGATGGGGTGTCTCACGTGACTTCCCACAGAACACATCGCACAGTGGCCCCTGACCCCAACCCATGTTTCTTTCTCTCTGACACCACTGGACACACAAACTGCCCCAGTTGCCTTCTTAAAGGGAAGCAGGCCTGGGGAGTTAGGTGCATGGTTGCTTCGGCCTGTTTTCTGTCTTGCTCCGGCATTCGGATTTTGCGGGAAGGACGGATTCAGACGGTGTTTAGACCAGGGACCCCTCCTGGCCTGGTTGGGCTCCCACTTGGCACAGAGGCTGTGATGATGTCCCTGCATAGAGGGCTGGCAGGTTTAATGCACTTATTTACCTTCCACGTGGCACATTTAGCACAGTTCCTGGCACAGGTTAAGAGTGGAATACATGTGAGCCTTGTTCTGAGTCAGTTCTGAAGGACAGCTGGGTGCATGGGTGAGTGAGAGGTAAGTAACTCAGGTAAGTGGTGGCCGAGTACAGTGACTTACTGTGGGAAAATAGAAGAGGGGATCCTCTGGTGTCTCCTGACTTGGGGTCATGCATGAAAGATCTGCTTATTAGAGAAAAGGAATCCAGAGTTTGGGTGTTGTCACAGCAGCAGAATAGCAAACAGTGACCCAGAAATGGGGGAAACTCTAAGATAAAGATGCCCTTTAACGGGACTTCTGCTGGCCTCCTGGGCAGGGGGAGCCGTCCATTGGAGAGGGTTCTTGTTCACTCCTCTGGGCAGACCCTTACCATCTTTAGCAAGTTTCATTAAATATCCTTTTCTCACCACTTGTTTTAAGTAATTTTTATGGCCACCCTTCTCTTGCTCTGGGACTCCAACTGCATGTCTGTAAACCACGTGATATTGTCCATAGGTCATTTGGGTTTTCTTCACTTTTTAATAAACCTTTTTTTTTAATTGACCTGTTTTCAAATTCACAAATATTTTATTTTGATGTGTTTAATGTTGATCCCAATCAATGACTTTTTTTACTTTAAATACTATACTTTTCATGTCTAGAATATCTTTCTAGAAAAGTTTCTAAAGCTCTTCTGAAAGTTCCTGCTCCTTGTGTATATCCTTTACCTACAGACTCTTCAGCACGTGTTTCGTAGCTATTTTAACGCCCCTTTACTGGTTAGTCACTGGCTCATTGGTGGGTCTCCTCCTATTGACTGGCCTTTAGCTGAGACTCAGTGTTCCTGTTTCTGCTGCGTCTCTGGCCTTGTGAGGAACACCTCCTGGAGCTGGCTTCCCCCAACGCCCTCGGAAACTCTGGGCTGTGTGCTGGAGGGCCTTGAGCTCATGGAGGCTGGCTTCACTGCCGGTTAGGACGGATCTGTTTCAGTTTCCCCTTGGCTCTTGGCTGTGAGTCATGTCTCTGCCAGGATCTCAGTGGAGAGTCAGCCCCAGCCTTGAGCCTGCAGAGACTCGGACACCACACTCCGGGGTCCAGGGTGGAGGCTGTCTGCTCGGCTCTTCAGTCTCCAGGATCCCTCCTCCCCTGCCCTTGGACTCCCCCAGGGGAGCTCAGGGCACTTCAGGGGTCACCAAGGGGCCGAGGAGCGAGACTCGGGCCTGGGGTCTCCTCAAGCTTTCTCCCTCCACACCCCTTGACCTCCAGAGGCCCCGGACGTCCTTCGGATGCGGTGCCTTTCATTCTGGTTCTCACGGCACCTTAGGCCTCCATCGTCTGACGGCTCGCAGCCCTGAGACCACAGCAAAGGGCCCTCAGCGCACCTCCTCCAGCCTGCCCAGCAGACGCACGAGGGAGCACGGTCTGTGACCAGCCATCTCTGTGGGGCGCCCCTGTCGGTGGCTGAGAGAAGGGCCCTGGAGTGGGCAAGGGAATCCCCCACTGAGCCCACAGTGTAGGTTGTGGAGTCTGAGCAAATAATCTGGACTGTTCACACCACTGACTTTTGTGGGGGGAGCCTGGTGGCTGCAGGTAGCCGATGTGCCTGGAGAGGGATCAGAGGTCAACAGGCCCTAATATGCTCATTAGAGCATCATAACATTTTTAGAGTCGCAATGTTTCCTGGACATGTGACAGTGAAAGTCACTCAGTCATGTCCGACTCTTTGTGATCGTGGACTATACAGTCCATAGGATTCTCCAGGCCAGAATACTGGAGTGGGTAGGCTTTCCCTTCTCCAGGGGATCTTCCCAACCCAGGGATCGAACCCAGGTCTCCTGCATTGCAGGTGGATTCTTTACCAACTGAGCCACAAGGGATCTGAGCAAACTCTGGGAGATGATGAAGGACAGGGAGGCCTGGGCTGCTGAAATCTGTTGGGTCGTAAAGAACCGGACATAACTTGGCAACTGAACATCACAACAACAGCGCCTTGTAACTCATAGCCATGATGGCGTATTTTACCTAACGCTGCTTATTTCTTCTCTTTTACTTCCTTAGCACACAAACTGGTCTTATGTTTTCAGCCAATGGCTACTTAGAGGCAATGGAATACAGTGCATTTGGAAAAGCTGGGCTAAAAACAAAGAGCTTGTTGACTTTGGGCTTCCCGAGAGTGACTGTGGAGGGTGAGTCTCTAGCAGGGAGTCAAGGAATAAACAAGGAAGCAACACGTAGCTGTATGTACACCGGCATATAGGACCCAAGTGTGAAGGGCCCATTAATAAGAAACAAGGGAAAATTCCTTGAACCACAGGACCCCGCCCCCACCCTCCTCCGCTCCTCCCCGTCACTGCCCCCTCATGACATCATGAGATGTCACCTCTGACATCTCAGAGATGCAGCATTTGGGGACTCGGTTCAGGAAGCTGGGGTCTACACATTTCTCAAGGATGACCAGTCAATTACACTGGTTTTTTCACTTGCATGGCCGGAAACGTCAGAGAGTTTACTCTGAAAACATAATAGTGGGGGGGGGGGGAAGGGGGGAAATGAAATGGGATTTGAAAGAGGAAGTCAGGCCCTTCTTTAGGGGCCAAGACAACTGCCACAAATCTCGAAGAGAAAATGTTCATGTTGGTGATTTTGTTGTTACTATTTGAAGTATGCTCTTTTCTATTAAGAATAATAGAAACCTCTGTATTAAAAATGGCTCCAAATGTTTACATCAGCTCTGGTCCCTCCTGGCTCTGAGATGAAGCTTCCTGTCAGCTGGTATAAACATAAACTGTCTCCATGGGGAAGCATTCACTCTAACAGCTAATCTAAAATTAGCTGCTGGAAGAGAAATCCCAAATTAAAGGCATTTCTATCCTAGATTAACAACAAATATTAAAAACTGATGTCCCCAGTTAATTTTTCCATCGCCCAGAAATGATAATCCTAATTTGCACAATAGTGTTTTATAAGGATCATGGAGTCTTCTGATTATGGGAAATCAAGTATTTTTGGATTTCAGAATATTAACATTGGAAGGGGAATCTCTTGCACAAAAGCCCCAACTGACTGTTTTGGCGAGAAACCTACCATTTGATTATATAATCAGACTTCTTTATGAAGCTGATTTTTTCTTGATGATTGTAACTTATTTTAAAAATGGTTTACTGTTTTCTGTTATAAAAGTAATTCATGCTCATAAATACGGAAGGTTTAGGGTGGCGGGGCGCAGAGAAGAGGCCTCGGGAGACGGGGCCTGCAGGTGTTGGGTTCGCAGCCAGGCAGGGTGTCTGGTGTGTCCAGCACAGGTCTCAGGTGGGCAGCCCCGTGCAGCTGAGAAGGTTAACAGGCTCGGGAGGGAGGCCAGAGGTCCCCGAGAGGCAGGAGGAGATAAACTCCAGGCGGCAGACGTTTCTTCTTCCCGGCACAAAATCAGAGGGGGCGGTTTTAATCCTGTGTTGTCATGACGACACCTGGTTCCACCTGAACTACCTTTATCTCAGATCTTGAGCTAACCAATGCACTTTCTTATGGAAATATTTTCTTAAGCTATGTCAATGAAACTATGTATTTGCTTGGAAAACTGCCTTTCTTCAGTATTCATGTCAATTGTTTTCTGGCTGCAGGTGACTCCCCTTCTGCCATTCCATCTCTGAACGCCTGCTGTGGGAGAGGGGCCTGGCAGCACTCTCAGTCTTGAGGTGTTTCTTTATCTGATTGGCAGCTGGCTAACAGGTATGAAACGCCTTGCTAAAAGCTAGCAAGGGGGCGCTCTTTCTGTCCCCTTCTGATGCCTCTGTCAGAAGCTTCCTCTATCTCTTTTGCAGTTTAATAAAACTCTGCTATGCAAACCTCCTAGTCACCAAGCCTCCTCTCTGGCCCTGGATTGAATTTCTCTCCCCTGGAGGCCTTGAATCCCAGCGTAGTTCACGGCTCGCAGCGGCAACCTTTTATGTTCCCGCGTACTAACCTGTCCCCACACAACAGCAGAGCTCCGTTTCCCGCTCCCTACAGGGCAGCTCTGGACATCAGCGGCTCTACACACAGCTCTGCACACCACGGGCTGAAGGCCTGTGTCCCCCCAGATTGACCTGCTGAAACCAAACCTCAAGGGATGGCATCTGGAGGCGGGCCTCTGAGAGGTGAGGGGGTCGGGAGGGTGGAGCCCCCACACTGAGGCCAGTGCTCCTCTGTAAAGGTTCAGACAGCCTGCCCCTGGCCCCCCAACTCCTCCATGAGGTCACGTCTGTGAACCAGAAAGAACTCCCCCCGGACACGGAGCCTGCCGGGCCTTCCAGCCTCCAGCCTCGTGGTGATCTCTCACCAGCGTCCTGAGCAGACGCAGGTGGGTCCCGTGGTAGCTTGGAAGTCCCCCTGCAGGCGGTCATTTCCTCAGCCACAGGACATCATCTTGTTCACATTTAAGGGTGACGGTGGCCGTTCTGCCATGAGTTCTGAACTGCGATCTCATCACTGAAGCAGCTTGTATCGTGTGCGGCATGCTGTGTCCCCGGGTCCCCTTCAGAATCACAGGGCTGAGTCAGTTGAGGTGAAGGTGGATGGTGGCAGGACAGGCTTATTGGAAATGGCTTTTTCTTAAGGCTCTCGCCTGAGACAGCAGCTCCCACGTGCAGCGTGGCACCGGCACTTTGCTTAAATGCGAACAGGTCACTTTACTCAGTGGCTCGGCTCCCAGCGGGACGGCTGGAGGTGGGGCAGAGGGTCCCCCAAACACACACTCCCCTGACCTGGCCAAGCCCTGGGCTGCCCCTGGGGAGCTGGAGGGAGGTGTGGTTGGCACCCGTGTACTTTCCAGGCCGTCTGCAAGTCACTGAAAGTTTAGAGAAGTTCCTTGTAAGGTACTGTAGAGGTGGTAGGGTAAGGGAATTAGAGAAAGCGAGGTTTGGAGAAAGAACAAGACCGGAGTTTACAGGAACAGATCCCTTTTAATGAGGCGAGAAGGGGCAGCAGTCAGATTAGTGAGGATATAGAGGTGTATATGCGGAAAGCTACTGTCTTAAGAGGGACTGTTCTTCTCCAAGGTTGTTTGGAGTAGTTATCTTTTAAATGACTGGGGCAAGGAACTCCGGAGATCGCCAGAGGCTGGGACCGGCTGGGAGCTGGGAGTAGTCAACTTTAATGTCCATTCTTTTCTTTGGGTGAGAGAGTTCTTTGTTTTCTATAGAATGATATATTTGCAAATATCGTGGATGCTGTGGGCTCTTGACAGGTGCTGGTGGAAGGAACGTGGAAGGGCCTGGCAAGGAAGTGGGGTCAGAGCCTGGGGGCTTGAGGTGCAGGCCTGGGGGGCTGGAGCCTGGGGCTCTGGGGCTGACCTGGTCCGAGAGGGGCGGCTGGGGCTCTGCCTGCGGGGAAGGTTGACTGAGGTCTGGTCGCGGTGTCCCCACCGAGCCACTTTCAGGCTACAGCACCCTGCCCTGACTTCGGGGCTGGAGAGGAGCGTGGGGACTCAGCGTCAACACGGGACTCAGCGTCAACACCAGACTCTCTCAGCAAGAAAAGCACCATTTATTATGTAACCAGGCTTCTCTACGGAGCTGACTTGTTTTCTTTCACTGGAGCGGTACTGCTGTGAACTTAAGTGCCTCTCTTTGATTTTCCACCTCCTTTGTCTTCAAACTGGAGCAGCATCTGTCTCTTTCATACCATTGTTCTGGCAGGTGAGGCTCAGATTTGTTTCGTCCAGCCCCAGGAAGGGTGGCACCCGTCCGGCCTTTTGTCTGGAATCACGATCTTGGATTTGTTAGGTTCCAGTTGACATCTTTAAATTGCAGAGTCTACTCAGCTGGGAGTGTTCTCTGTCTTTTCTTATGTTGCTCAGTTAAATTACGTCTTTTTTATTAACTGCTTCAGGGCCAGAGGGCCCAAGGCAGATGGGGGCTCCTGTAGGTGAACTGAGAAGATGCCCCAGAACTGCACGGACATGGACGCGCCAGGCCAACCCCTCACTCCTCCTGGGCCAGGGCCTCCTGACGCCCCCACCCTGACCCCTTCAAGCCCCGTGACTTTGGAGTGAGAGATGGAGACCGAGAAAGAGCAGGAGGGACCGGGGTCTCAGGGCGTGACTCGCTCCCTGACACGTGGACTCCAGGCTGCACCCGCTGCTGCCGTCCGGTCCCCGGGCTGGGCCCACCTCCCTGACCCGCTTCCCTCCTGCCTGCCCCAAACCGGGTGACATCGTGGTCCCGAGCCCGTCGTGCACACAACATAAAATCACCACCTTAACCAGTGTCAAAGACACAGCCCAGTGGCACTCAGCACATCGGTGGGCAACCCTTACACCATCCTCCCCAGAACTCTTTCATCGGCCCAAACAGAAACCTTGTCCCCACCAAACTAGCTCCCCTCTCCCCTCCCCCAGCCTCCTCCTGTCAGNTCAGCTGGTAAAGAATCCACCTGCAATGCAGGAGATCTGGGTTTGATCCCTGGGTTGGGGCAATCCCCTGAAGAAGGGCATGGCAACCCACTCCAGTGTTCTTGCCTGGAGAATCCCATGGACCAAGGAGCCTGGCAGGCCCCAGTCTGTGGGGTCACAAAGAGTCGGACACAACTGAGTGACTAAGTGCACAGTGCACATTTTTATTTTGGTTGTTGAGTTGCAGGAGTACCTTACATATGCCTGAAGTCTTATATTTATGGTCCAATGTGTCTCTCTGGTGCTGGGCACTAAATAACCAGATGCTGCTGTTTCTGGTATGGTCGCAGCAAGGGTAAAGCATGTCCCCACTTGATGGCTTAACCAACACCTTGAGGTTCATTAACTTGAATTCATCTTTTATAATGACAGAACATTTATAACAGAAGATTGTAAAACTGGCTTCAGTGTTTCTGGGGCCAAGTACCACATGGAGAAACATGTTCTCACATGGTGGGGACCCTTGGACATATATAGCACCTTGTGAAGGGTGACCCCAGGCGATGGCAGGATAGTGCCGTGGATGGCAACACGGTGTGGTCCAGTTGATAATCCGGTGGATATTATAGAAGCCAGGAGAACCCCACAGCGATAAAGACAAATGATTTTCATTGGAGTGGCGGCTGTTCACTGAAGAATTAGGCCCCATCGGCAAAGGGTCAGCATGTGGCCAGCTCTCAGGACAAAGGGCTAATAGGGCAGGAGTGCGGCAAGAAGGGCAGGCCACCCCAGGTGCACGGGAAGACCAAGTTCCAGCGCGCTGAGGCCTGGCCCCCTCTGCGGGGTTCCCACCTTGTGGGGAGTGAAGGACATGCCTTTCCCAGGGCCCTGCGGGGGCCTTCTCTGTGCAGCACCCTCGCCCCCCACCTCAACCCCCAGGACCAACTCGGGGGTCTCAGATCACACTGTGCAGAATTTTTCTGAAAGGGCTGCTGGATGCCAAACACCAGAAAGATCAATTGTGTTTACTTCCAATTACCTCTTACATGCTCATTTGGATATCGTCCAGGGATGACGCCACAGAAGTGTTTGCAAGTGCAGATGGAAACCGTGAGGGGGAGTATTTTGCCAGGACCTTCCTTCCAGAATCCTTATCGAGCATCTAAGAGAAAGGGCACCAAGTGGGAAGCTGATGAGCCCAAGGGGAGAGCCAACAGCTATGCAGCTGCCCCAGATTAGGCTAATTTCTGCTCCCAAAGTTCCACACCAGGACACTGATGGCTTTCTTGTTTACACTAATGGAAAGCTGTGAAGAATCTGAGAGTCCGCATACTAAGGGCTGAGTAAAATAAATTCTCCTGGGATCCTCCCAGGGCACGAGGCAGGCACTGCGACCAACCCTGTAGACTCTTCAAGGATGAAGGTCCTTTCCTTTGTCTGTTTAGTGAAACATCCTGAGAGAGGCTCAGTATGCACCGCAGATGATGGTGATGTCTCTGCACCGAGAATCTTGCTGAGTACCCAAACCTGAAGTTGCAAAAATAAAAGGGACCGACATGGGGGATGGGCGGTGCCCCTCCTGTTGCAGGTCCTCGGCCTCAGTCTCTTAATTGTCACATCACTCTCCTGGAATTGAGGGCCGGGGAGGGGCCCTTGGAGGCTGGCACCCCCGGAGGGAGCTGGCTTCCTCTCTCAAGCTTGTCCCACCAGCTTCTGTGCCCTGGGACACGTGACTGACCCAAGCCTGTTCAGCTGTAGGCCTCAGATGGCCAGGTCTTCCCACGGATCCAGGAGGAGGAAAAATGCAGAGTGTCCGGATTTGCCAACATGGTCTCCGCACCCCAGAGCCCCCCGACCCCAGGAAGAGGCTCACTGCCCAGCATCTGCTTTGATGCACTTTCCTCTGTGGGGCAGCTCTTGCAGCACTGTTAACTCTGTCTCTTCAAGACGCTGACCCTGGAGCTAAAAACTGTGAGCACAGTGTTCGGCCCCAAACAGAAGACAGGCTTGTGCAGGAAACTGGGGAGGGCTGGCCTCACCCGGAGTGGCCCCGGGTCCCAGGCAGGAGGCGGTTCTCCTCCTCCCTGGAGGAGGATGTCCTGCCCCCCCGTCCATCATGGCAGCTCTCAGACTGTGCAGCCTCTGAAGTGGACTCTGGGCTTGAACGACTCAGGGCGTAAGTCCACACGGACGCCCAGGCGGCTGCAACCTCCACGTGCTCCCTAGTTAAACGTGAGTGCTGTGAGTTTAACTGTGTTCATAATGAACGCGCAATTAGAAAAGTTCTTAAAGCATTTGGGGACCCACTGCTCAAAATTTCACGCTCTGGCACAACCAGCTTTCCCTCTGAGAGATTGTAAAACAGGTTATTCAGAGTTTAGGGCCACATTTAACATTTTTTTATTTGCCAGTCAATGGCTTCAACTGTTTCAGAAAGTACATCTTGATATTTGTTCAACAAATATTTATTGAGTTTAGTGACATCATTTCTCAAGAAGAAATATAATTGTACTTGAGTGATGATCTTTGTTAAGTGGTTTAACTAAGTATAAACATAGAAGAAGGCAGGTCAAAATTGTTTGACTGCTAGTAATATTTTGAAAAATTATTTGGATCATGATTGGGGAAAGCTGCCTTTGGTGTAAAAGGCAGCTTAGAAATATGATTAGTTGACTTCCATAGAGGAAAGGAACAGGAGGATTATTTTATCCACTATCCATCCATCATCCATTCATCCACAATCCACCTATCTTTCCTTCCATCCAT